GTCTGCTGGTCTACACAAGTAAAAAGTTATGGTATTTCCGGTCGAATTTTAGATTTCAATTTTTCGTATCAAATCTTCCTTATCAAATCGTGAAATGAAAGTTGTCTTGAACGGCCAATCTTTTAAATATTTTTTTTTTAAATTAATGCAGATATCCCACAATGCTCTCTTGTTGGACCTACGTTATTTTTAATTTTCATCAATGACCTTCCCGATGTTGTAAGTTCTTAAGCAGGTACCTATGCTGATAACGCAACTACTTGCTCTTGCCGTAATGGTAAATTCGGTTCGATAACTTCGAAATGATATCGTGTGTGGAGGAGACCGTATGAAACTATGGACAGAGAGCTGCAGAAGCAGGTAGAAGCTCTGTAATAGTTTACAAATATATATTTCACATTATGAAATGGACAAAGTCCGACAATTATTTTAAGACATTTTTTTAGGTTTGAACGTTCTTTTTGTAGATACAAATATTTAAGTAAATGCTCTGTTTATAATCAACAGTATTAACGACATTTACCAGCCTGAATGTTCGAGAAATTTTCATAGAAAATATGTGTCCTCCGACAGGAATCGAAACTGTATCCTATACTGAACCGTCATATAGCCTGACGTGCTTTTACCGATTTCGCCACAGAGGAGCGTTTTGCTTAGCAAGGTCGATTTTACTGTTTTTAAACTACAATTTTCCATGATTTTCTCTCGTACATTCATATCTGCTCGATGCGTATCCAAATGACGTCACACATTATGAAATGGACAAAGTCCGACAATTAGTTTAAGACATTTTGTAAGACATATTTTTAAGATATATCGAGCAAATATGAAAGTACGAGAGAAAGTCATGGAGAATTGTAGTTTAAAAACGGTAAAATCGACCTTGCTACCCGAAAGACTCCTCTGTGGCAAAATCGGTAAAAGCACATCAGGATATATGACGGTTCCGTATAGGAGACAGGTTCGATTCCTGTCGCAAGACGCATATTTTCTATGAAAATTTCTCGGACATTCATGCCGGTTAATACTGTTTATTATAAACAGAGCATTTGCTTAAATATTTGTATCTATAAAAAGAACATATAAACATAAAAAAATATCTTAAAATATATGTTTCTCTATTTGTATATATATTTCTCTTTTTCTTTCTTTCTCTATGATTATAGTATAGTCTTAAACTGTGTTATATTTATGGCTAAAAAGTCTCAGGGATAGAGCGTATATAATTATAAAATTGAACTTTGAGGTCAACTTCGACTAGCGATTGTCTGCTTCATGCTTGAAGGCAATATTCAGGTAATTTTTTTTTTTAAATTTCGGCCGACTATTTATATACGTTGTTCAATAGCGATGCTGTATTTGGCAATTACTACTAGTAAAACGACAGTCTTCACAGGCATAGCAAGCATAGATTTTCTTGAAAAACATTTGGCAACCATTAAATTAACATTTACCCTATGGGGACGTTTTGTGCTCGCATGGTAAGGGCACTACCACCGCCATTGTGAGCGGGTGAGTCTACCCGGTTTACACGGAGACTAGTTACATGAAAACTAGTTATTTTCTGGCTCCCTACTATTGACAGATTAACATCTCATTCAACATGTATTACCTCTAGCTATACTCAGCAAACACCACGCAGGTGTAGACATGTGCCGTGAAAGATCATGCCACACAACGACTCTAAAATCACGTATATGCCACGTCGCCGAGCTACCGTTATTCAGGCGAAGAGAGGAGATAAGAGTTATTAGGTTGCTGTCTGTTTTCAAATCATACGGACGATGATATAAAAGAACTGAAACGAAAAGAAAAACAAAACATTAAAAGAATAAGGATAGGGAGTGAGGTTTTAGTTGTTAAAAGTAAATTAAAAAAGAAATTCAGTACTCAATACAAAAGGAAAACAGAAGAAGAAGAAAAGGTCTGAATAAAAGTGAAACAGGGCAAATAAAAATATCGAATTACAAAAACAAAACGAGGTCTCCAACAAAAAAGGAACAAAAAAAGGTTCAATAATAAAAGGTCGAATGTAAAAAAGTCCGAAAAACATTAACAAAATACAGTCATGCGGATGATCTGTCATGAGGAGTGGACAGTCGCAATAAGAAAGAAAAAAAAAGTGAGGGGAAATACATTAGAAGCGAGGGGCGGTCGATTGGGAAAACGCAACCTGGGAATGTGTCGACTTCATAAATTGAAACGTTGATACGATTTGCTTTTGCATTTTTAAGCCAGGTCCCAAATCGTGCTGAAAATCCGATTAACGTTTAGCATTTCTTGATTGTCAGTTCGATGGGACCTCTTGACAACTCCGCGCAAGCGCACACAGGCGATTAACGATGTGCGCATGCGCATAGAAATAGTCCTTTAATAGATGACCGAAAAGAAGACTCAATTTAACATGCACGATATCTATCTATCTATCTATCTATCTATCTATCTATCTATCTATCTATTTCAAACCGTTCACTTATTTCTGTATATTTTTGACCTGGTTTATTAATTTATATTTATCTATATTAATCTGGATTTGTGCTTTACTTTAAATATATACTCATAATATTCTTTGTCTCTGCATATTTTTTTCTCTCCTCTCTACACTACACACACACACACACACACACACACACACACACACACACACACATATATATATATATATATATATATATATATATATATATATATATATATTAGGTAAGTTCTGAAGAATTATTGGATTTATATGTATTCCAACATTTTTATTACATCAAGAGTTATTTTAGTGGATACCTGTATTGAAATGCCTGCGCATTCCATACAACACGCTAATACACGAAGCGGATTCAAAAAGTTCTAAGCCTCACACGGAAAGAATAACCATTAACGGACATTTTTATTGTATCAACACATTGCCAATTCTTATAAAATTTAATTTCCGTGCAGGTGAGACGCCATATAAATGTGAGAGTTGTCTGAAAAATCGAAACCTGGTCATAACAGAAGACCTTTATCGTTACAAGAGTCCTCTATCCTATGTTTAATTCCTAGAGACATGGAGCACTTATAGATTTTAGCATCGGTCGATGTTCATATTTTTTTATCTCTCTTTCATTTTGGTCTTTTTTCGTGTCTTTCTTTCCATCTTCCTTTTGTTTTCCTTTGAAAGTTTAGTGTTCACTGATATAGTTTGACCCTTTAAGGTTTATTGTATTTTGTTCATATGCATACATACGTACTGTTATATACCGTATATATGGATACTAATACCTATGTTCCAATCCTCATAAATACGTTGGACACCATGGTAGGTGGGGGTAATATACTGCCTAAGTAGTCCACCCTTAGCAGTGGTTTATTTACATCACGCCGCTGGCGACTATTGTATTTTGTTGATGTTATAAAAATTACCATTTCATTTCCAACCTCCGTTTTGGTTATTGCTCTCTCAGGAACTTTTTCTAAGCTCCAACGTTTTGGAAAAAAGAAAAAGATATCCACTCTGTGCAAAGTAAATCTAAAAAGCGGGGTTTTATATACCGTATCTATTAACACTAATGGCTATATGCCAATCCTCATAAATACGTTGGATACTATTATAGGTGGAGGTAATATATTGTCTAAGTAGCCCACCACTAGCAGTGGTTTACCTACTTCATGTTGCTGGCGAGTATTGGATTTTGTTGATGTTATAAAGATTACAATTTCATTTCCAAACACCATTTTGGTTATGAAAAAAGTTCTTAAATATGCGTAAAATATTAAACGTTATCAGTCCCCTCACTATTGCAAATATCTATAAGGCGTTGCAACCACAAGTGCGAAGAGAAAGCAACAGTTCTTAGGGCACTGTTGCTACAGCAAACAGGAAATTATCCACAAATCATAATATGGGATCTTCTGAATGGAAAATGAGTCGGGGATTGCTAATTCGAAAATGCTACTGCCAGCAATAGGAAGATACAAGTCTGAGAATTATGAACTACCAAAATCTATGGAATGTCGTGAATGGTAGAGTACATTTATGATGCATATCGGGCCGAGGTCAGTGATGATAATATATATATATATATATATATGTGTGTTATAACAAAAAGAAAGAACAGTGAGATATATAATTTATAAAGTTATTCCAAAATAAATGAATAAGTTATTCCAAAATATATAAGTTATTAAAAAGTTCGCTTGAAGATGAAACACGACAAATGCTTTTAATTTAATTATATAATAAAATTTGAAGATTTTAGCTTCGGTTTTTGAAACATGGCAATTCCTGTGTAGCAAAGGAAGCCATATTTTAAATCAATATATATATATATATATATATATATATATATATATATATATATATATATATAGGAACATCAAATCTGGGCACTTCTAATATCGTACAATTCGGTTATCGTTCACTTTCTTCGGTAAAAATATGTCTCAGATGAGTTTCCATTATGGATCAAGGAAATAACTTCGTTACCAACCTGTACATCCCTGTTCGTTTGCTGCCGCGCAAAGCATCACGTGCGTACGTAACCCCGTCTGCTTTTGTTTCTCGCGAATTTAGAATCTCCCCCCGCTCAGCATTAGCCCGAAAATATTCCATTTTAAATAATTTTTTTTTATAGTTTTACACTTAAGTAAGTCACTATGGTTTCAAAAAGTTCCGAATATGTCTTTTGGTTAGTCGTTGGTTTTGGATATGAGTGGGCATGATTTGGTGTTAGCGGAGGACCACAGTGAAGACCTGACCACGATAGAACTCTTGAGCTGGAGCAGCAACAAACGGCAGCGTAAGAAATAACTTCAGGGTAGAAGGAGAATAGGAGAGAGGAAAACGTGCCTAGATCAGTGATTAAGAACATTTGTTCGAAATTTATCTAACGTTTTGTTGGAAAATATCACCATAACAAAGCCGTTGAAAGCCGTGACGTAAGCATGTTTGATGACAATGCTTTACCACATTTCAGGCACATGTGAAACAGAAAAAGTACAACCACTAAGCCTGTCTCGAGTAGGTGTTCTTAGTAAGAGAGGGATCCAGTCTGTCTCGAGTAGGTGTTTTTGTAAGAGAGGGATCCAGTCAGTCTCGAGAAGGTGTTCTTAGTGAGAGAGGGATCCAGTCTGTCTCGAGTAGGAGTTCTTAGTGAGAGAGGAATCAAATCTGTCGAGTAGGTGTTCTTAGTGAGAGAGGAATCCAGTCTGTCTCGAATAGGAGTTCTTAGTGAAAGAGAGATCCAGTTGGTCTCGAGTAGGTGTTCTTAGTGAGAGAGGGATCTAGTCGGTCTCGAGTAGGTTCTAGTTGTATAAAGACAAAAAGAAGGGAAATAACGCCAGAAACTGAAGCCTTTATGAAATGAAATTGCCCTTCCAAGCAACGAATCCTTTCTTCCCTCCGCATCCTGGTCATCATATATACGCTATACAACAGTCTTCAATGGAGGTAATGGGAAGGTAAATATTCATTTATTCGATTTACTCTTTCTTTCTTTCTTTTATGAGCCATATCCTTTCAGGGTATATACTCTCCACTTCCCTCTATCACTCGCAGCTCTCAAGTTCCCTCCTTTTGCTTCCTTCCCTAGACCAATTTACGTCATCCACTTACTTAATCCGCCAGGTATGTCACGCGTTGCTTTCACTTGTCTCTCTTTCCCTCTATTCGACCTATGAGTATCAGATTCTCTAGGCCCTCCTTCCTCATTATCTGTCCCAGAAACTTTAGCTGCCTCTTCTTGATATTAAGTATAAGCTTCCTCCTTGTCTGCAACCTCTCTAAAACCTCACCGTTGCTCATACGCTCGGACCCTGATATCCTTAGCATCTTTCTGTATAACCACATCTCTGTCGCCTCGAGTCTCTTCTTCATCTTTGAGGAAATCGTCCAACATTCACTTCCGTAAAGAAGGACGGCTGTCACGTAACAGTTCAGTATTCTTTTCTTTGTTACCAAAAAAAAAAATCCTCCTGTCTCGCAGTACTCTGCATACTTTTGGAATGCGTCCTTCGCCATCCCAATATGCCTAAGGATTTTAGTGTTGTACTTACCGTCTTCTATCAAAACGCTTTCCAGATATTTAAACTTCTGCGTCACCTTGATTCTAGTGTTTCCGGCCTTCAAATCGTATTTAATTACCATTTGTGTTTATTCCTTAATGTTTTCTGCATGTAAAACTATAGTTATTCTGTATGAAGTGTTTTCGTGTCTTTCAGATTTCAGTCAACTTTCTGGACAGGATTAGGGGCGATAACATATGTTCCACTGTATATACAAACAAACACACACACACACACACAAAGGGAAAGGTGTGAATCCTCTTCTCACTCCAGCTATGGGTAAATAGCAGGACAGGCTGGGTTTTATAGCCTTGGAAGGCAACTGGTCTAGGAGAAGGACAACTCTGAATTCAAAACCTGCGGAGGGTCGTTTGGGGACCCTGTAGCACGTAGTGCACCAAGTCTCTGTATTCGACCCTTCAAAAAAGTGTGGATGGTCCTGCACGAAACCTTCACCACTATAATCAAATCTCATGTGCTGTTGTCGGGCTGTCGGTTTCCTAGGAACTGATCTGCTTGAGCCTCATCCGTCGAATTCGACGCGAGAGACTCGAGTATATAGATATAATTTATTTAAGGAATGCTCCGTTTTCTTTTAATTAAAAATTATAAATTACATTTTTACCGACCTGAACGTCCGAGAAATTTCATTGAAAATATAGCATGCAGCCCGGTAAATGTAATTAATACTGTTTAATTAAAAAAGACCAAAAAAAAAAAAACAGACCATTTATTAAGTAAATTATTTTTATAAAATAATGTATAAACAAAAATATATTAAAAATAATTGTCGGACTTGATCCATTTTCATAATATATATATATATATATATATATATATATATATATATATATATATATATATATATATATATATATATGCACTCACACACACACACACTTTTATACTTTTAGCTATATCACGGATGGTTTTATTTTTGCATTTAACTGAATGTATAGATTGTTTTATGCATGTATCTAGAGTTATATCAATGTTTTATTATCGAAAGACGGCCAGCACGTTGCTCATTCTTGCCGTGTTCATAGTTGATATTATTGTGTGTTGGCTTTTCCTTTTTATTAATAGCGCTTCCATTATTTTTAGCCTTTTTTACATGTAGATGTGGCTGTTATATCTATATTATCAACGGGTACGTTGTGGATGGTGTTTGGTATGCCTTCATGTGTATTTAAACGAGACCTAATTGAGCTATGGTCAGAGAGATATAAATCATTTGTCTGTAGTATTATGCTCGAATATAATTATTTATGAACTTCGCTTCATTAGGAACACAGTCCCTTAAGGGAGATGTGAATTCTTAAATAATATTGGTTCTCTATAATATGCCCAAGGAGGAGGAGGAGGAGGAGGAGGCGCGGTAGAGTTATAGATAGCGGCTCGGATTGAGGAAACAGAGAGCCGGGTTCGAATTACGTGCTAATACCCTTGGGAAAGATATAAATCCTCTTCTTCCCCCTCTTAGGTATGTGTAAATAGCAGGACAGACCGTGTTCTGCACTCTTGGACGGCAACTGGTCAACCGTAGAAAGAAATGGCAACCTACTGACTCGTCAGTCATGTATCGTTCGATACATGATCGCCTAAGCGATAATTTGCATTTGCAGGTGGGTTATAGTTGTTGACAATGTGCTTCATAAAAATAATTAATAATTAAAAGATAATTAATAATTATAATTAATTTAACTATCTTGTATTTGTCGAATGGAGCTTTATATTTACTTAGTGTTACAAAAAAAAACATTACAGCTTTATCTAATCAGTCATTTTTAATGAAACGTGTAAAAAAGAGTAATTGCTGCCCAAGTACAAAATTATATATATATATATATATATATATATATATATATATATATATATGTCCATTAAACATGGCACGTAGAACTAGAACAGTCTACCCCAGTGAGCGATATAAAGGGTTCAGTTCAATTATTTCAAACACCTGCAAATAATGTAAATAGTATATATATATATATATATATATATATATATATATATATATATATATATATATGTTATGGTCCAGGTCCTTGTACCACGGTGATGGTCCAAGGTAGAACCAATAAAGAAGAACTCGAACACGGATATGGAATAACACAAATATATTACAAACAGGTATATATACAGAGAAGTAGATAGTGTTAGTACGAACAATCAGGTTTAGTAGAGAGAACAATGTAGTCTCGACCAGTATCCCTCTTCCAATGTCTTGTAGTAATTGTCTGAACGCGACTCTGTTTCGACTGCTTCTGACTCGACTGACTGACACGCTCGCTCTGACTGACTGACAGACTCCTGACGGACCTCACTCCAGACTTTAGACTGAACTCCCTGCTTCCTCTTGAGACGCCGTATTTATTACGTATGGAATAGTCCACTATGTTATTATGGGTAAGGTCCCATAACACACACACACACACACACACATATATATATATATATATATATATATATATATATATATATATATATATATATATATGATAAACTCCCCGCCGTTTTCGACATATTACTTTTCGGCAGTATATTTTGTTCTTGAAACTTCTTATGTTTGTGCTTTCTATGGTTTTAAAACCATCTTCGGACTCACTCAACATTCCGCATACAAGACAAGGAACTGCACCGTTTGAGAACGATGCAGAAATGTCAGAGTGGTTTTCAGTGTCCTGCCTTGTGTTGTGTTGATGTTCAATGCATAGCCGTTCAAATGTAATGCCTTTAAGCCCAAAGTTGTCCACTTGACACGACCTGAAACCAATTCCTCAAAGGACAAAAGAGGTCTGTCAATGGATTTAGTTTTTCTTTGGATTTATCCTTCTACCTCCACAGGGGTATTCTCACTTACTGATTACCCGTAATGCAGTTGGTTGTACACAACGCCTTTCTCTGCCCTTTCATCACTCATACGCACAGCATGACCATCTCAACGAAGTTGAAATCGTATTGGAATTATCCCTATACCTTATATTTCGCACGCACTTTGAAAAGAGATTAAGTTATTTGGTCTTCCTGATTGTAGCCACAGTCTGTACGAAGGCATAGCGTAGAGACCATGGCGAATATTACTCCGGTAGGGTATCCAGTATTCAGATCCAGAGAGGAGAATTGAGATTACCAACAGCTCGGTCCATATTAAGCTTGGATTTTAAGCCCATTTCCTAACCGATGATAGAGCTTTTTCCAAAATAGCCTGTAGCTTTGTAGCTGCATTAAAGGATCGCGTCTTTAAAAGATGCTGAATTTTTGATCCAATTACAATTGAAATATATATATATATATATATATATATATATATATAAAGATACATATATATATATATATATATATATATATATATATATATATATATATGTGTGTGTGTGTGTGTGTGTGTGCGTGTGTATGTGTCTGTATTACGTCAAACCTTATTTTTTAGAGATGTTATTATTAAGATATCTCGAGTGCAGCAGTACGATAGATGTAATACACACTCTTTAAAAAAGCGCGGCGATTATTTCAAATATTTTAAACAAAACAAATAAACGCACACACACACATACACACACATACACACGCAAACATACACACACACATACACACACACACACGCACACACACACACACACACACACACACACACACACACATATATATATATATATATATATATATATATATACAAGTATAGGATTGGTGTATACGGAATAAATTCCAATAACCAACAAATACTATTCTTAAAAGAGTGCTCAATACAGAGTAGAGCAAATATAATTATTTATTGGATAATTATAACATAAATATGTTATAAAATCACTACAAAAATAGCCATTTTGTTTCAACACTTCTGGTGTCTTATCAAGTGATGGTGTTGAGTATAGAATAAAGCCTTGTATGTAAATAAGGTATAATGCAGAGCGGCTTGGAATAAAAAAACGGAAAGCCGAGTTCGAATTCTAATGGGGGTCGTTGCAGGGACACGTGCAGTTAACTTTGGGAAAAGCATGTTGTATCAAACCCTTCACTCCCATAACTATGGGTAAATAGCAGAACACACACACACACACACACACACACACACACACACATATTAATATATATATACATATTTGTGTTAATAAATATACATAATATCCCACACTTCAGTAACAATGTTAAAACTAATATCGGAATAATTTTTCTGGATTTAATCCATAAGCACTTCAATTTTCCTCCAATGCTTAAAAATATTAAAAAAAAACAACGTCAATTGTGCTAAAACATCACCTAATATATATCACAACACAACAATGTTATTCTAAGCAAAAAATTTCCAAAACTTCAAAACAAAATCACCTAAATAATGCAACTGCCGAAAAAAGAAACACTGCCCATTAAGCGGTAGATGTATGAACAAAGCCTTAGTTTATAAAGTTAAAATCAAATATGATGACGTGATATGATGAAGTTTTATGTGGGTTCTAGTGAAAACCATTAGAAATCACGATTCTACCATCACAAAATTACATTAGTCAATATTAAATATAGTAACCGCATTGACCTCTCTAAATTTTTCTTGAAAATAAAAAGCGAGCATAGGAACGCTGGGACTACGTAACGAATACTAAACACTTTAACGGGAAAGGCCATAAATGTAGCTTATGTCTTTCTGAGAAATTAATGATCCTGAAATATATGAGCAACCCCAATATGTTAAACAAAAGAAGCGTGTTAATGAGCACGTACTTACAGAGAAGTACATTCCTATTCAATCACTTAGACCCAGATTAATATAGTTTTCCCAATCACAGACGGAACAGATGCTTGTTTTGATGTTCTTATTTCTTTATTATTATATTATTATTATTATTATTATTATTATTATCTTTTCTTTATATTTTACCATTTTTCCTATATAAACATTATTAATATTTCATTTTTACTTTGATTTTTATCTTATTTTAAGTCACACTATTACCAATATTATTTTTATTACTATTATTTTATACTGTTATTAATTTTACTCTTATTATCTTTTTATTACTGCAAATACTTTTATTTTATTAATTTTATCACTATTTTTAAACCAAAAAGTGTTAACCATTGATTCTCAAACGTATTTACCGAGAAACTTCAAATTTGTACCTAATGAGTGCATAGAACATGTGACACTGAGTTGTACTCTCAGCGTAAGGTATTATGCCTTTTTATTAATATCTAACAGCTCTGTTATTTAACATTGAACACTGTTTTTCTTACATCAAAGGATATATCTATATCCATATATATATATATATATATATATATATATATATATATATATATATATATATAGTAAGGATATACATGTGATTATTTTGGGGATTTAGGCTAATCATATAGTAATTCGTCGAGCCTAGAATAATCCTCAACTGATTGCAGAAAGCTCTGGACGGCCGTTTCGTCTACTATCAAGAATCGAACCCGGACCGTTTCGATACACCCAAAAAATCACACCAACTGTACCATGGGCCTAAACAACTAGCACAACAGCATGTACAAATATCGGACGGAGATATTAAAATAACCAATCACTGCCTTAAACTCTTTTGTTCCACAATAATGAACCATGGACAAAAAAAAAAAAAATCATGACCTATTTGATCTACCAATGCAGCAGAGACATGTGGATTAGTAGTCATACTCATCCTCTAATACCTAGTTAGGATCCTAGAGAGAAAGGACAGTGGACTATATAGAGATGATGGATTTACCTGATAAGAGAACCCAATTGCCCCAAATTAGATAGATTTAGGAAAAAACAATAAACGCCCTAAAAACCACATTTGATTTAAAATAGAAATAAATGCAGGTACAAGAACAGTAAACTTTTTGGATGTCACTCTTAACCTGAACAAAAACACATACGAACCGTACAAAAAAGATAATGACACACCAAATTACGTACACACATACTCCATCCACACAACTCCAATCATCAAACAAATACCCATATCAATCAGCCGCAGGCTAGCTGAAAGCTCATCAAACACAGACATTTTCAATAACAAAAAACAACATATGACGAAAGAAAATGGATGCACACAACAGCTGCAATACACACCTTCACATCCGAAACGCAAAAACAGAAAAAGAAACATTATCTCTTTTAACCCTCCATACAACAAAACCGTCAAAAAACACATAGGAAGGACATTCCTAAACTTAATAGAAAAACACTTCCATGAAACAAACCGATTAGCAAAAATATTCAACAAAAATAACGTTAAAATACGTTATAGAGGAACAAAAAATATAACACAAATAATAAAACGCCACATCAAAAAAAGTAACAACCTGCAATAAATCAACCAAGGAACCTCAATGCAACTGCAGAAATAAAACAACATGCCGAATTCAAAGAAATTGCCAACAAATGAATATAATATATAAAGCAAAGGTAAGTGCAAACAACAGTGCCACTGAAGGACCATTCAAGAAAAAAAAAACAACCACGACTTTTCATTCTCTAACAGAAATTACTCAAACTGCACTACTCTCTCTATATATACATATGGCATATACATATGGCAACTAAAAGAAAGAAATATTACACCAATAATAAGCTGGAAAATATTGAAAAATGGACCTGCCTACACCAACATAACAAAGAAATACCTACTTTGCCTCCTCGAAATGGTAGCAAAAATTTTTCATACCCGACAAAAGAATTTACTAAACAGAAGATCAGAAATAATTTCTAAATGAAAACATGAAAAAAAAACAAATAACTATAATTAGAATTTATAACAAACTGACAAAAAACACCAACCAACACTACTACTACATAAACAACCATTGACCCCATGAACATAAGAGAAACCATTGACACCATAACACCATCAAGTATTTTCTACTTGAAACTACCATCATAATAATTATAATTATTGTTATTATCATTCCACCACCATTACTACGATCACCCCTACCACTTTAGAATAACTATTTGCTGCTACAATTGTTATTATCATCAAGCGCTCCTCCCACCATTATTACCACATCACAATTACCATTGCCGCATTAGTCCATAATTACTAAGGCACCAGAATTATATTCACTTCTCTCTCCCGCAGCAAAATTAATATCACAGCATAAATACTATTTAGTATTACAAATTGGAATTTCTACCTTTTACATATGCGCAATCGCCAAAAACAAGTGTGGGACTGAACATATATGCGCATCCATGTGTTGTTGCGTACATACGCACGCATTTGGTCGTTGTATTCAATGTTGGATTGTGTAGCGAATTTTTTTTTGTGTTTGTTGTGCTGTCAATGAGCAGACCGTTATTCTATTTTGTTGAATAAGGGATGTTTTGTCCACAAGTGGATACCTTCAAGATAGAAGATGACAAGTTGCATTTTCACGAATTATGTCTTCAAAATGGAGGATGAAAATTTACATTTTCATTATGTTATATTCTATGAATTTCGGAAAGGTGGAAGCAGCAGAAGTGAGGAAAAAAAACATGCAGAATTTTTATTTGGATCTTTCTCCAACTCTTTGTACGTTCAAAAAATGGTTTAGTTAGTGTGATTTTAAGCTAAACCATCAACCGTCACATTTACCCAGGTTTTCCCAAGTAATACAACGAAGAGCAACTCTAACACAATACGTGACGGACGTACAAATTTAATATACTTTGAAAAAATTATTTTTGTATTAAGCTGATGCTCATTTGAACATATCTGTTACATGAAGATAAATTTTAGCGGCGAAAAAAAAATATGGCAAGAAAAAAAGACCGCGTAAAGTTCAAAGGACCGAAAGGATAAAAAAAATAAACGAAAGGCAATACAACAAAAATATAATGAAAAAAAAAAAAACACAATTTCGAAACTAATATTATAAAAAGATTACAAGGTCGGATAGCAGTGGCAAAGCAAGAAGCAAGCAGAATTCATTGATATAGAAATAAAACAACGAAGCAAAATTTAAAAAAATTATATATACAAAATGAAGTAAAATTCGAGCAGGCAAAAGATAAAAATAAATAGATAAACGTAAAGAGCAAAAAAAAAAAAAAATGGCGCAGGAAAGAATGAAAGAAGATTCGACGCAGAACCTCAAAGAGCCAGAATAATAATAATAATAATAATAATAATAATAATAATAATAATAATAATAGAAGTAAAAACAAAAGTAACGAACCAAAAATGTTTTCAACCTAAAATATCAGGCAGCGGAGGAAGCGTTGAAAAGAATGGAGGAAATATAATGAAAACAAAAAAAATGAGCAAGCAAGGAACGGGTGATCTCAGAGATAGAAAGAAATAAGAACTACAATTCAAAATATAAAAGCTCTATCCAAAAACATTATGTACAGTGCGTCTCTCGGGGTTGAGGCTATAATTGATAAGTTAATGAGGCCAGAGATATGGAACGAGAAAAAAAAAATAAGCACAGACAAGAGAGAGTTGCGGTTGGGCTTAAGTAAGAAAAACACCGTAGAAAAAAAAATTGATGAAGGAGAAGCAAGGGAGGTAATTAAGGCATATATCATTCATTTCGAAGTAAAAGAATGGAAAAAAAACAAGGAAGGAAAGACGTTTCTCGTAGTGGGGAGGAATTAAGACTAAGGGAATGTCACACGATAGAAAGATAGATAAATTAAGAGGCAGAAAGAAAACCTTGGGCTAGATGAATGGATAATTAAATAGCGAAATAAATAAATAAAAAATATTCTACAGATTAGCATAGACTAAAATATACTCCGAGTTTCTTCGTTGGGTAGATACAAAACTACCCGGAGGAAGATTAACAGGCAGATCTAGAGAATTTTATACCGTATATATTCCGTGTATAAGGTGACCTTCAGATAAGACAAGGTAAAAAAAAAAATATAGCAAATTTTCATGAATTTATTTTATAACCGTAGTATAAGATGGCTGCTAATCTATTATATAAATATGATGTTATTGGAAATGTTGTTATCTACTGTCATCTTAGAAATTCGAAACAAATCAAATAACAAAATCGATTCTCCGTATATCATTTTTCCAACATACGACCCCTAAAAGGAAGCAATGGTTTTATTTACGTTTCATCACGTGATCTCTTGATCATATTGATTATTTTTCTCCTTTCTCCTTCTTTTCCTATATCTAAAGAGTTACAAACAACCTGGTGTACTAATGTCCATTTACTTATACTTCATCGACAATCACAAAATACTGCTAATAACAGTTGTATGTAATCCTAAACTGTTGACTGTAATCTTAAAATGTATTATCATTTAAAACCAAAATGATAATGAATTTTTAATGTGAAATGAATATTATGTGATCCTAAATGATATCACTGCCGTAATTAATACAACCATGATCATTATTGAATCTTTAACGAAAGATAAAGGTTGCTTAAGCGTAATCTTAACTTGATGTTTAAATTTTCTCAGCTGAGCTTGCATGGATACAAGTTGATTTCATTGATATAGAATTATTCTTCGAATAAGCTATTTATTATGAAGTCAGGCCAGTAATATATAAGGTAGAAATGGTTTTATTACTTTTATTATCAGTTTATTTGATGAAATGTTTCTTTTCATGTACGTTATTGGTTATCGTACCGAGGCCGAGGTTAGCCTACTAATAAACATCACTCAGAATTTGAGGTTTCTTTTTTATAATTGTAGTATAAGACGACCCTCCTACAATTTTACGGGTAATTTTTTTGGGGGGGGGATTTAAAGGTCGTCTTATACGGTAGTTATTTTTTTTATTAATACACAGGTATAAAGTGAACAATATATATATATATATATAAAAGAAATATGTTGTAGTGGTTCCAACAAGAGAAAAGTATGTATATTAAAAAGAAGAGGGTGCCGCAAACGTTTTTTGGTTGTAATGTGGATTTATTGAAAAAAATATTATACTTGTTTTACATAATTTCACGACACGTGTTTCTGGTCTGGTCTCGCAAACCGTCTTCAGGTGAAAGTGGAGATTTTTACATATTATTAAAAATAATTAATTTTTCTTCATGTTCAATGTGGAATATTCTCGATATGAGACATTCTGTTTGTGTGTTGGCAATCTGAATTTTCTTTCAAGAATTGTCAATTAAGAGTTCTGCGTGAAGGGTCATAAAACAATTAAGGTTTGTCCAGCGAGTAGTTATCGGCATTTAATCTTTTTTAATGTTTTAGTGACCTCTATGTGCTCTTGGATCTGTTTCTATTTTGGCGTGTTCCTGTCAGCATGCGTGTATATATGCGTGCGTATATTTCCTTACTACGAGGAATTCGTAAACTTATTTGTACTTATACACGCATACACACACATACGCACATACACACTATCCCACCACAAGTAGTCAGTACACACACATATACACACATATTTTCCAAGCTACATGGAACCAGTACACACACATACACACACACATACACACACACACACACACACACACACACACGTACTTCCTAAGTTGTCAACATCCGCATATACATACATAAATGTATGTATGTGTACATACACATATATATATCTCCTCGTGTCTCCCTGTATATGAGTGTGCGTCCATGTATGTGAGCGATCATTGTATTTGGTCACCCTGTGTGCATGTTTTTTTTTTTTTTTTTTTTTTTTTGGGGGGGGTTACGATCTATTCAGTTCGGGTTTGAATTTGTCTATAAAGTTTTTTCCTGTATTTGTAGATACGAGTAATTGTCTGTTTGATATATCGGCATGATATTAAACTTAACCTGGTTACATTTGAAATGTGTTTGTGATACAAAAAAGTTTTCTGTTGTCTGTCAATTTTATATTGCTTTTGTGTAGGGAGACCCTGTTGTTCAGTTGTTGGCTGATGCCTATATATGACTTCTTACATTTTGTGCATTTAAGTGCATAAACTACATTTTTGGAGTTGCAGTTTAAGTTTTTGTTTATTGTGAATGTTTTTTGGGTTTTCAAAAGTGTAGGAGTTTCCTTCTATAATGATGTCACAAAGTCCACATCTTTTTTTGTTGCATTTTGTGACTCCTGTATTTTGTGTTGACTAAATTTAGATGAGGTTAATATGTGTTTTAGGTTTCTAGATTGGCGTTTGCTCTTAATTATTTTGGTTGTTTTAGTATATTATTCAGTTTATTATTTTGCTAAGTAAATCTAGATTTTTTGTGATTTCTGGGAATATTTCTGGGTTGTTTTTTGTTGTACGTTGAGACATATGCTAGAGTTTGTTCGACGTTACGTTTCTTTTATTTCTAAGTTGGTCTAGAGGAATTTCTTTCGTGAGTTCAATACCTTTGTTTATTAGTGTTGTGGGGTAGCCTCGTTTCTTGAGAGTTTTATGTAGAGGTCACTAAAACATTAAAAGATTAAATGCCGATAACTACTCGCTGGACAAACCTTAATTGTTTTATGACCCTTCACGCAGAACTCTTAATTGACAATTCTAGAAAGAAAATTCGGATTGCCAACACACAAACAGAATGTCTCATATCGAGAATATTCCACATTGAACATGAAGAAAAAATTAATTATTTTTAATAATATGTAAAAATCTCCACTTTCACCTGAAGACGGTTATGAGACCAGACCAGAAACACGTGTCGTGAAATTATGTAAAACAAAGTATAATATTTTTTCAATAAATCCACATTACAACCAAAAACGTTTGCGGCACCCTCTTCTTTTAATATATATATATATATATATATATAATATATAAAGTGAAGATTAATTCAACATAGAGGCGACAGTCTGTTTCATGCTGGACGTAATCGTCAGGCCAGCATGAAGCACCCTTGTCGCCTCTAAGTGTTGACTTCAATCTTCACTTTTATATTTACACACGCTCTTTCTATGATATTGAGGACTTTATCCCATAAATATAGCACACGTTAAGACTATATTTTTTCATTCATATATATATATATATATATATATATATATATATAGAGAGAGAGAGAGAGAGAGAGAGAGAGAGTAGCGGCCATAATATAAGGAACGGAAACAACAAAGACATAAATATGTGTATTACTTAAAAAGTAATGCATGATTAGCAATGAAATTTTTACCGAATAAAGATTAGGGTGTAATGCATAAATATTATACAAAGTTACAAAAATTTACATAATAGTTTTTCTTTTTTAAATAAAGATTAAATGGAACAAAGGAAATAAGCTACTGGACAAAAGTTAAGGAACGATCTTGTTAATACTTGATTGTGAACAAAATATCAACAAAATTTAATATTTGGTAAACATCCCCTTATTTTCAATGACTTCCATGCATCGTCGACCGGATGATCTAATTAATTTCTTGTAAAAATCAGCAGTAATTCCCTCCTATTCGTCTTTCAATAACTCCCATAGGTGATCCTGGTTTTTCGTGTTTCTTTTCTGAGCTCTTTCTCCAATTATCTTCCAAACATTTTCTATTGGATTCAGGTTGGGGCTGTTGGGAAAGGTATGAATCCTCTTCTTCTCCCTTTAGCTATGGGTAAATAGCAGGACCGACCGTCTTCTATAGCCTTGCGTGGCAACTGGTCCACCGCAGAAAGAAATGGCAACATACTGAAGGAAAAATCTGCCTTGTCAGTCATGTATCGAAAGATACATGATCGCCTATGCGTGTGTCACGCATGGCGCATAACTGACTGAAGGATAAAAACAAAATTCTCGCTCTGAATTGCTGTTCCACAACATCTCCTTTCCAGTTTTTTGCCTTCCAGTCAAATTTGAACTTCAAAAAGTTAAATTCAGTATCAGTTGTTATTTTCTGACTTCTTAATGTATGTTCTTTTATTGTCCTCTTTACTTATTGCCTTGCTTGGGTTCAAAAGATTAAAAATACATCTTTTTTTCTCTAAAAATATCTCTGTTGTCTTTCGGAGGATCGAAATGCATATTCAGTTGAATTTTACGGCTATACCATGTTGCAACACCGGTTCTTGAACGATCCACGAAGTTAAGCAATTTTGAACCTGGTCACTACCTAAATGGGTGACCACTTAGAAACAGTTGGCCATTGTACCCTAGAACTTCATCCGCTCATGAACAGAGATAGTCGGTCTGACTAACCAATTAAGATCATATTGTTGACATTGATGGATTTGTTGTATTGATTGGGATATTTACTATAGCATATTTTAATTCTCCAAGGCTAAACATGTGCGCGTTAACACCTCAAATCAACTAACATCAGAAGTCATGAGTACTATTTCTGATGTAGCATCAGTGTAATTATTATTATTATTATTTTCTTTGATTTCTGGCGTTTACACATTTCTTTCCGGGTCCCGCCCAGGGACCTAAGGTTAGAAATGGCGTCATAACACTTTCCACTGACAAAAAAAAAAAAAAAAGAATTAAATTACATAGATAAAGCCCTTCGTAAGGTGTGGGCTGTACTTGTCAGAACAATTTTTTGTATCTCTTTGAGGCATGGACTTCAAGGAATCCCTTCAATTAGTCTACTGCAATCTTTTCCAACCAGTCCTAGGGGTCCAACTACAACAGGGATTGTTGATGTTCCCATATACCACATTTTC